AAAGAAGTGAGATGCCCTAGCTCTTGCCCAGATGAGGCTGCCATTTCAGGCATTACTTGAGATGTCATGTCTAGGCTTGTAGGTGGATGTTTCTGAATGGTTGTGCAAGCTAAGCTTTCCATGATCTGACCCCTACCTACTTGCTTGCTGAGACTTTTTTTAGATTATAGCTTTTTGTTGAAGTGTAACATATATACAGAAAAGTGTACAAATCATTAGGGTACAGTTCAATGAATTTTCACAAAATGATGAGATTAAGAAATAGGATGTTTCCAACATCCACAAAAGCTCCTTTGTACCCTCTTCCAGTCACTCCTTCCAACTGTCTGTTTGTGCCATGTTGAGCTAATTACAGTCCCCACCCCTCCACCCCCAGCACACCATTCTTTCTCTCGCCCTTCTGCCTGTACACCTGCTGCTCCCTTGGACTGCCAGGCCTGGCCTCACCTAATCAGTGTTCAAAACTCAGGTGTCAGCTTCCCCTGACAGGCTAGGAATACTTCGTACTTTCCTCCCATATTTTGTCATTGTTTACTGGGAGCTCTCTGAGGACAGAGACTCTGAGTCACCAGACTCCCGCACCCAGCACAGGCTTGGCATAGAGCAGGCACTCCAGAAATGTTTACTTATTGCACAGTTTGTCTAAAACATTTGAAGACATCTTTTCCTTTTATCTTCCCTGACCCCACCCCAAGCACATACCATCCTCCTGCCTTCCTAACCCATTCTTCTTGCCTCTTTTAAAGAACATTATCAGCCCTGTCTGAGTCTCTTTTGTGCCTCCATACTCCCCCTCACTTTTTCTCAGACTGTGCTTGTGTCCCATCCACACCTGCCCCAGCATCCCACACACCACGCTCCTGCCTGTTGCAGCACCATGTTTCTGCCCCCAGACCATAGGCATCAGCCACCTGATAGTTTACTCCACAGAGCATTCTCTGTGCCAACCTCCTGCCACAGGTCCTCAACTGCTATTTCGCAGGCTCTGTGTTATTCAGGAGTCAGATTCCTTTTCTGCTTTGCCCGTGTTTCATGACTCTGTATTTTATACTTCATAAGTTTTCTTTCCTCAAGAACATTGGTTTCAACTAGACTTATTGTGGTGATCATCTCACAGTATATACAAACATCAAATCATGTTATACATCTGAAACTACTGTAATACTATATGTCAATTATATCTCAATTTAAAAAAACAGTAAAAGAACAGTAGTTTCCTTTAATATGCTTGAATTTTTGAAAAAAATTTTAGTTGTATTACTGAATGATATTCATTCATTTGTCACATGTGCCAGGCACTGCTAGGTGCTGGAGAGTTAAAGTTAAGAGAGGTTTATTGCCCTTGAGAAACTCACAGACAAATGAGGAGAAAGAGAGAAATATTAACAAGTATTAGAAGAGAGTGTCAGTACTGAATGAAGAAAATGGGCACTGGAATCAGATGAGTGATTCCGTTACTTAAAACGATACATTACTTAACCTTTTTGTTTCTGTGTCTTGGTTCCTTCACCTAAAAAATGAATAGAGCTTTCACTAGGTGGTTTTGATTTTTACTGGGGACTTTTTTTTTAAGTTAGACACTGTTTTGGCACCTAGTAAGTGACCAATAAATGTTAGGTATCATCAACTATTATTGTCATCTCTGCTTAGCCCTCACAGAGAAAGTAACATTTCAACTGGCTGCTGAAAGACAGGCCTTTTCTAGAAGGAGGACAGGGAAGGACAGCTTAGAAATAGCCTGGGAACAGACAGACAAATGAAAGGGTGTGATGTTTTCAGAAACTGGGGAATGGTCCAGTGTACCTGGAAGACAAAGCATGTTTAGGGGAGTGGCAAGAGGTGAAGCTGGAGAAACAAGACCCAAATAGTGAAGGGTCTTGTTTGCCATTGGAGTTCGGACTTAATCAGATAGATAAAATAGAACCATCAGAAGTCTTTAAAGAGGCTTGCCACAATCTAAACTGTCTTTTAGAAAGATCCTTCTGGTACTTCTGTAGAGGATGGACTGAATGGGAAGAGGAGAAGGGAGAGGCTGCTTAAAACTCCTGGTGAGAGATGATGAGAGTAAGAACTGCAGTGATGGATGTTCCAGAGGCGGATCAGAAGGGCGTGGTGACCGGTGGAGGAGGCTGGGAACTGGAGGGTTGGAGAATAGCTGCAGTGTTCCTTCCTGATCTTGGGAGCAAGTATTCTAAAACTCACAAGTCCCTTCCTTAGCTTTGAGCCACTTCTTCTCCCTTGGGCCTTATAGTTAGCTGCTCCAGACAAGTAATTACTGATCTCGGGCAATTAGGGCAGGAGGTGGCTTTGTTTATTTCACTCCCTGGCATCTCCTAGGGGAGAGAGAGGTGAAACTCATGTGTCTGTTTTCACCATATTTGTAAGAGTGGATGGAGTTGGAACATTGATTCCTCTTTTGTTAACAGACACATGGGCCTCTTCTCACTTCCACCACCAATCTCTGTAGAAAACAATGTGAAGTTTAAAAGTTCTTTCCAGCTTTTCCCCTCTTTGTTGGTTTCCCACAAAACATCATTCAAAATTTTGGCCAACTCAAGGAATCCTGAGCCCACCCTAGCTGCTGGGCTCTAATAGCACCTTTCCCACCACTGCCATTTCCCTATCTCAGAGCTGACCTGGTTCTGGGTGTGCCTCTGCTGGTAGCACAGCTTGGCTGGGCATGATCTCTCCCTGCTCAGTCATATTTATGAGTACCCTGGATACGGGACGTCATGCCTGGAACTGATCCACATAGTGAAATGGTCCATCCCATGGAGCTCTGTCCTTGGTCTTTTACTTCCAACTTCCTCCTTTCTCTGCCTTCCTTCCACTTTCTTTCAACCAGGGATTGTTTCTAGCTGGTGAGTTTCCTTGGTTTGAGGAATGGAGCACTAAAAGTTCTTTCCTCTGTACTTACTCTGCCATGAAGTAGTCACATTCCTAACCCTCCTTCTTCCAAGATGGCTCTTAGATGTTTCAAGTACAGCTCTTCCTCGACTTATGATGGGGTTATATCCCAGTAAACCCACTGTAGGTTGAAAATATCCCAAGTCAGAACTGCATTTAATACACCTAACCTACTGAACATTACAGCTTAGCTTAGCTTAGCCTAGGCTACCTTAAATGTGCTCAGAACACTTACGCTGGCCTATAGTTGGGCAAAGTCATCTAACACAAAGCCTATTTTATAGTAAAGTGTTGAATATTTCATGTAATTTATTGAATCTGTACTGAAGGTGAAAAACAGAATAGTTGTACAGATACCGAATGGTTGTTAGTGTATCGGCTGTTTAACGCCACAGTCGCATGGCTGGCCTGCCACTGCTTCCCAGCATCACGAGAGAGGATACACTGCATATTGCTAGCCTGGGAAAAGACCAAAATTTAAAATCTGAAGTATGATTTCCACTGAATATGTATCACTTTCATGCCATCATAAAATCTAAAAATTATAAGTCAAACCACTGTGTATAGACCACTTTGGTGGGCAGAAAGTCCTATGGAACATCTTCTGTTTGTTTCTTGGAGCTAGGCTGGGAGAGGGTAAAATTCCTTGGACCGAGTGGAGTGAATTATTCCTCCTTTTATGAAATACCATTGAGAGTATGTCTTTTGTTTTCAGTAGAAGTTGACCTCACACTAGTAAAAGTGACCATGAGCACTGTTATTTAATGAAACATTATCATTGTAGATACCAGCCTGAGACCAGCAACTGAACTCTACTGATCTGTGGGCCACTTTAAAATCTTCTGTAAACTGAGTTTTCTCTAGCATTGATTTTAGGGTACTTTATTGTCTTAAACCATCTGAAATGGAATTGCTACGTGGTTTTTTAAAAAAGAGATCAGTTTTTTCTTATGACAAAAACAAAGCGTGTTCATTATAGAAAGTTTAGAAAATACAGAGAAGCAAAAATGAAAAATCATCCATAATCCAACCACTCAGAGGAAACCACTGTGAAATTTGTGGCCTAGCCTTTTCGTCATTTTTTTTAAATGTATTTATGCATTTTTTCAAAAAAGAAATTATAGTATGTATCTCTTCTATAATCTTCAGTTAATAGAATGTTATAAACATCTTTCCATATCATTGAAAATTCCTTATAACATCATGTTTAACAATCTCATAGTGGTCCATTTTACATCCATTAGGGGATGGGTACATCTCAATAAAAATTAATTTATTTTAATTTGAAAAAGTAATAAACATGTGACCTGAAGACAGTACATAAGGAAGGGGTGTTATAAAAATAGTGGTGGGGTGTTGCAACAACCAAAGGGATAGATTTCACAGCTCTGAACAGCATAAACAATAATTGTAGGCATTATCAATTGGTAAGTTAAATAGGACGTGGATGTTAGTAGACTTGATCCTTTTATTCATCTTTGGGCTGAAATTTTGTTAAGTTTTTCTGGGTCTGAAAATTTTTATAAGAAATATACCAGTGGTGTCTCAGTTTGCGGAAGGTAAATGGTTTTGAGTTCCTTGGTTTCCTCATCGGAAATCAAACCACGAAGCTCTGACTCTGTGAGTTTGCATAGCACCTTGTGCACCAGGAGACATTTGGCAAGTGATTATTTGGGCAGTTATGGGAAGTTTCTTGTTTTGGGGACTCACTGAATCTAATCCTAATTGATGTGGCTGGATTATTCCATATATTTATTTCTTTTTACAGGTAGTGCCTTCCTCAGTGCTATCTTTCTTGCCTTAGCAACATACCAGTCTCTGTACCCACTCACCTTGTTTGTCCCAGGACTCCTCTATCTCCTCCAGGTAAGCACTTACTGATCAGAAACCAACACTCAGGTGACATTTAATACTTGGCCTGGTCCCTGCTTGGGGGAAAGAAGAGCAAAACTCATTGAAGGCAATGGGACTGTATTCCCAATGTACACTCACTTGCTTCTATTTAAAAACATAAAGACAGAAACTTGACTGACTTTAAACAAAGTGGACCTAATGATCATTACATTCTAATTAAGCTTATCATTGCAAATGTATCAGTGCATTTCATTTTCACATTTGTAATTGGGATCTACCATCCAACTTGCATTCTCCTTTTCTCATTTTCTATTCACAGACCCTTCTCTGAGCCCATCTCTTTAACTTTTTTGTATAACAGCACTCACCCTGTACGGTTCTTGCAGGAACTAAATGTAGTGGGTGCACCTGACATAATACTTGGACCATAGTGGGTGATCAGTAATTTAATTGAAGAATGCAAACTGCTGACCCTGAGAACTTACTATATCTTGGGCACTATGCTGAGCACTCTACAGGCATCATCTCATTTAACCTCAGAAGAACTTTACAGGGTAGGTCATATTGTTAGCCACATATTAGTCCAATATTAACCATACTAGACAGATGAATTGCAGCTGGAATGTTGGGCGATTAGGTCACTTGCCTGAGGTCGCACGGCCAGCAAGCGACTGCTGAGATGTGAGCTCAGGCAGTCTGATGCACAAGCCTGCTCTCTCACCATCTGTCTTTTCTACTCAAATAAAAGTACACACATCTCAAGAGTGAATAACTGCTTGTAGGTTCCACATGGTCCAAATCCATTCTTAGAAGAGAAACGTTTCTTGAAAGCATACTGAGGGGAGCGCCAGGATTCAAGCCAAAGAATGTCTGATTTCAGAGCTTTTGTTCTTCATTATAAACACTATTGCTAAAACTGAGAGGATACCTTCTTTTATTGAAATAGTCATATGATTGTCATTTTAAGTGACTTCATAGTATATCTTTGCGTTGATGTGTACAGTGATACATGGTTAGCTTGGTCTTTCTCCTATTTGGGGAATTTGAGATGTGTGCTAGTTGTCACTAATATAAATAGAATAGACATTTGTTTTTCTTTGAGTTATTTCCTTAAGGTGTGTTCCCCGAGCTGAATCACTGGATCCAAAAGTGTGAGAAGTTTATAGTTCTTATTATACAAGACCAGTTTACCAGAAATCCTGAGCCAATTTGTAGTGCCACCAGCAGTGTCTAAAGTGAAGTGAACCACTTCTTCCCAGGCAGCCAGCCCTGGCTTTTCAAATTCAATTTATGATTGCTAGTTTAATAGCTGTATCATTATACTATGAAGTTATTTTACTTTGATTTTCTTTCTAGATTCTTGTTGAATGCAAGCAGTTTTACACGTAACAGTGTGCTATTAGTATTTTCTTTCTGATTTTTGAATTTTTTTTTTTTGGTATTTTCTTTCTTACTTCATATGTTTATAGTTTATTCTTTAGAAAGTTTGAGCTCTAAGAAGAATGCATGCAGCCAGAATTTTTATGCAACTACTTATCAAATAAATACTATAAAAATATATTTACTCATACACATGAGCTGACCAAAAAAATTTTAAATGGTTTGTTAAGCCAAACACTGAATACTGCCTTATGTAAAATAACTTTTGTTTAAAACTCAAAGACATTTCCTCGTAACAACAATGGACAGTACAACTGAGTCATGAAATCAGGCAGCTCAGCCAGTTACTTTATTCAGTCCCTCCCTCTCCCAGTAGGTACTGAGCAGCTCTCTTTCAGTCTGCTGGATACTGTGGTAGACTCTGCAGATACAAAGCAATCGAAGGTTGCCGAGCAGGGGAGTGCCGCAGGAAGACTGCTCTGGCAGCAGCCTGTGCCCTGGATTGGAGTGAGGAGGAGCTGAGGTTGGAAAAGTTTGGATCAGTGTACGAGGGCTTGACTGGAGGCCCAGACCACCAGTGTCATGGGAAGTTGAGAGATGAGACACTAGATGCAGAATTCTAGGAGGCAGAGTTGGCTGTGCTTGACAGCCATCTGGAAGTGGTGAATAGAACTGGAAGGAGTTTGAACCTAAGGACCCATTTTTGTAAAATTTAAAATCCCATCTCATACTATACTTACATGTTTTTATGTAAGCATATGAAGTGGCCTTGAGAGGCAGTAGGGCTTTATGAGTCATGGTAGTATATTTGGAAAAGCAGTCCAGTCACGTCCAGCAAATAAACCCACTTGTTTAAATATGAAGGAGGGAACAGAAGAGGAAATTATCTTTTAGGACTGAGTTCCTCAGAAACCATTACATGGACCGTTAGGTCTGATTTTCACAGAGCTCCATAGGCTCCAAGGAGAGAAGCTAGTCATAATGAGTGGAAGCCACAGGCAGCCCAGTATAAGGCAGTTCTGGGACAGCATGGGATGTCTCAAGGGAGGTGAGTTCCCTGTGAATCACAGTGTTTAGGCCACAGACTGAGTGGCCACTTGTTGGGGAGTCTTAGCAAAGCTGTAAGTGTCAGCGTGGGTAGCTGGACCTCATAGTCTTAAAAATCCTTTCATCAAGTTGAGTTGGATTTGATACCCACAAGGAAGTGATACATCTGCTCTTGACATTGTATTTTTCTCAGGGTTTTTCGAGCCCTCCATAGGCACATACTCTTCTCTAGGAAAGGTTATGTAATGTAGTATATATGGTCACAGGCTTGATTGGGGCGTCTTAAGATCAAAAGCAAAGTAGTCTTAAAGACTAATGGTACCATGTCAAAAGAACAGTGGAACCAGCCCAAAGGGGCTCCTACTGGCTAAATTTAGTGTATTCTGAGCATCAGAAGAGTAATGACTGCAAATAATTGTAAAATACTGAATAAGTAAAAATCTATGTGTCCATAGTGATGCTCAGAAAAGGGGGGAGGAGAGAAAAAAAATGCATATGCTATCATTAGATGTGGCTGTTTTGTCAATTTCTTACTCTGAAAATCAATAATTAAAAGGAAAGATCTAAGCAGTTAAAAGGAGCTTTTAAAAAGAGCGATAGTTCTTCCCTAGTTGATGAAGGAAAACTCTTCACAGAAAATTGCAGCTTGTAGCTGTAAAGAAGGATAGAATAGGATACCACAAGTGAAATGACAAAATCTAGCAAAGATCATCATTGGTGCTAAAATCATTAGATGAAAGATTTTGAAGAACAGAATATTTGCATTTGCAGGTACCAAAATAGTACCCCCTCCCACCTCTAAATTATTTGCAGATAGCAAAGGGGAAAATACATCTTTACAAAGGAGTGCTCTGGCAGCTACCACCTTAACCAAGTAATCCATGTCAGCATCACTTCTTATGTTGAAACAGCCTGAGGCGATATGCTTCATGATGTGCAGCAGTACAAAGTACACAACATCCACTCTGAAGTATTTTCATCCAAAGTGTTAACTTTCATTAAGTCTTTAGATCTGACTTCTGGTTTTTAGGAAATATAAGAGCAGAAGAACAAGTTAAATGGCACCATAAGGAAACAATAAAACAATGAGGATGTAGGACAGCGTATAAGCCAGCTAGTCTGGTTCTCTTCAAAAAGTCAATGTCATGAACTAGAGGAAGTAGGGGGTACTGTTCTAGATTAAAGAGACAATAACAGAACGGAATGGGTGTGTCTTGATTGGATTCTGGTTTAGAAAAGAAGAGTTACAAAGGATGTTGTGGGACATTTAGAATAGTTTGAAGATATATTAGGTATTAGATGATGATAAGAAATTATTAACTTCTTGGATGTGCTAACAGTATTCTGGTATATAGGAACATGTCTGTTTTTAGGAGCTGCATGAAGAAGTGTTTTGAGGAGAAGTGCCATGATGTGTAGAAAATTCATACACACAGAAAAGCTTATATACGGCATGGTGTTAATATTTAGTCTAGGTGAAAGATATATGGTTGATTATTGTATTATCTTTTCAACTGTTCTGTATTTGAAAATTTTATAATAAAAAGGAGAGAAATGGAATACAAGCCCTGAAGTTGTCTTAGCTTGGATTATGATTAGCTCTCTGATCCTAGGAAGTAACTACTTAACTTCTCTATGCCTCATCTATAAAATGGAGATAATATAATATTAGCTACTGCAAAGCATTAATTCATGACAAGTATTTAGAACAGAGTATGATGAGAGTTCAATAGACAATAGTTATGGTTATTAGTAGTCAGATGTTCATAGGAAGGATACGTCACCAGTCTGGAGGTACGTGGGGTGATGAGGAGAAGAGAAAATAATTCATTCAAACTGTAAACATTAGTTTGTACTTACTCCTTTGACACTACAAATCTGCCTACATTCTGCTGGTGGAATTTCTAGAGGGTACAAAAGGCAGGTGGTGGACAAGCTAACGTCTGATCAGTGCCAGGGGCAAAGCTGTTTTTCTCTTTCCTGTGTGAGACACAGAAAGGCTTCAGGATCAAAGGCAGGGGATGCTGCATCTGGCTCCCTTGTGAGTCACTTCTGAGAATGGTAGTTTGAGCCCATCTGGTGCCTTCCCCCAACTTTACTCTTCCTCTGACCTTGGCTTAGGGCCTAGTTTCCAAGTGAGAAAGAGACTTAAAATGTTATGATCTGATAGCATGTAGAATAAAATAGCCCTGAAGTGCACAGACCAAGAGACTACAGTGAAAGATATGCCAAGTACATAGGATCTCAAGGCTGAAGCTGTGAAGCTGACAGAGAGAGGTTCATGGTGCAGTCAGGGAAGTTTCTAATCCTCTCTCTCCTTTTGCTTGGGATTCCTTAGGTGGTTTGAGGTCCTTACTTTCTTTGAAAGAATGTGAGAGAAACCAGAGGGGCATACCTTGTGAGTGTTCTGATGGTTTTTGTGTTAAACTAATCTGACCCCTCTTGTCTTTGAACTGAGAAAGTTAATCTGGGGGGAGGATATAGCTCAGCGGTAGAGCACATGCTTAGCATACACGAAGTCCTGGGTTCAGTCCCCAGTACCTCCATTTAAAAAAAAAGAAAAGAAAAAGTCAATCCTGTGGTTT